TTAAAATTAGAAATGAATAATAACTACAAAACTTTTGACTATAATTAGATACTTAAATTAAGTTGAATTTAATATTTTATTATTATTTTTTAATAATTCATAAAAATATCAAATCATCTAAATAATTCAATAGTTATTTTTTTCGTTAAAAATAAAAATTTTTAAATTCAAATTATATGATATGTGATTAAAGTAAAATAATAAATAAAAAATAATTATCTTTTATTATATAATCAAAATAAAAAAATCCTTCCATAAATTCGCAGAACCGGTAAAATTAAAAAAAAAAAAAAAACGCACGCGCGCGCACACACACAAATGCACCTCATTCTGAGACTTTTTCTGTCCACCCAATCTTCCCGCGGCAAGAACCAGAATAAATTGTCATCCCTAGTCGTGTCGTGTGTTCACCTCTTTCTCTACGGTATCAATGCATGATCCACGTGGGCCCTCCGAAGGTCATTTCCTGCAAATACGACGAAATGGTGAAGAGCAGGAGCAGCACCAGTCATCAAGCGCCACATCGTCCGACACGTTTTTTGTTGACAAAATGTGTCGATCAAACAGTTGTGAAAGAGAAGACTGTCAGTCTTCAGAATTCGGCCGTCGCTGCTGACTTTTTGTCAGAACAGAATATCCACGGCTCAGATTGGTCTCACCAACTTATGATCAAGTCTTTTTCTGGAAATTTACTGAAGTAGCAACTTTTTAATAAACATTCATTTATTATAACATTGATGGTTATTTAATAATAATAAACTTTTTTTATTGTATTTAAATTAATAATATTATATATATTTATTTAATAATCAATATAAAATATAAAAAAATATCATTACTTACTTTTTATTATTTTTTTTGGGTTTCCTGTCTGGTATCCAACGCTTCGTCTCGACTAATTCGGACCCGACTCGCATTGCGCACTTGAAATTGAAAATGGTGGGTGAGCCTCTCAGCGTGGACTGTTGCATACACAAAGAACTCGAAACCTTGCTTAAACTGGAACAAACCGCTTACCACTTGATCTAACCACTCGTTATTATAAGTGAAGATTTACTTATATTCTCTCGAACAAATCACTTACATAAATGTGGGTAATCTATCATTTTATTATAAATGATTTAAATTTATTTATTAAAAAATCTAATAAATCTCAACAATCTATAAATTTTTTTTTTTTTAACTTACACGTTTAAAAATACAACTTAAATATGTAATTAATATACATTTTAATTTTTAAGTTATATGAAAAAAAAAAAAATTTAATGTTAATTTTAGTAACATGTATATTAATTTAATTAATTATTTATTTAAATTAAAATCAAAATTTTTATATAATTTAATAATTAAACGGTGTATTAAAAGTAATCTTAAGCTATACCTTTGCTTAGGAAAAACCTACAAGAGAAACAATTATCAAGATTAATATTGTGGATAAGAGAAGAGTCCTGCATAATTAGAACTCTTTTTTATTTGTGTTTTTTTAAGAGTAACTTACTTTGGCTTTTCGCTTTTAACTTTGCAAAGAAACATCATGTCATAACGACCGAAACGCCGACGCCAGTTTCTTCACTCCACACACTGCTCTCCCTCCTTCCCTTCTCTTCTTCTTCCTGTAACCTGGGGTTTTTTCATTCTGAGGTACGTTTTTGCTTCTTTTTACCTGAAAAGGGGACTGTTTTTTTGGTTTTTGATTGATATTTTATTCATATTCTTGTTCTTTGTTGTTCACTTAACTAGTATACGGTTTAAGTGTTTTGGTTGCTCAACGTTTGGAACTTTCTATTAGTTTTGTTTTCCTCTCTTGGGTTCCTTTTCTTGTTCTGTTCTTGGGTTATGGTCAAGGCTTGATGGTCTGACTGCTTTTGCAAAAATGTGGATTAGTCTGTATAATTTAAGGGCTTTTGGGATTTAATAACTTTAATTCTTAAAAAAAAAAAAGGGTTACTTTTGCAGGGCAGAGATTCAATTGGATTTTTCTTGGCTGGGGTTTCTGTTGTTGTCTTAAAGTTGGATCTTTTGTTAGGGTTATTGCTAAATAGATGATTATGGATCCAAGGTTTAGAGGGTATTCAGGTTCCGTAAATGGAATCCAAATGAGAAGTCAACCCATACCAGCCTTCCCAACCGGTTCTGTACCAAATTTTGGAAATCAGAACTTTGTTGCTGGACCTAGATTTGAGAATAGTTATGTGCATAACAGTTTTAGGGATTTTAATTTCCTCCCACCTGATCCAACACCAAGGAAGGAAGAAACTGATTCAAGTTTGAACCATGAGGAAGATTCCCTGGAAGACTGTGATTTCTCAGATGCAGTTTTAAGATACATAAGCCAAATGCTCATGGAAGAAGATATGGAGGAAAAGACATGCATGCTTCAAGACTCCTCGGAGCTTCAAGCTGCTGAGAAATCGTTCTATGAGGTTCTTGGTGAGAAATACCCACCTTCTCCTCAACATGCTCCAACTGATGTTTATGGAAACGGGGAGAATAGCTGCAGTAATGGATGCAGCATTTTACTTGAGAATAGCTGGATGCAAACTCTTGATGAAGATCAATCACAGAATTTCTCTGTTTCTACAATTTCTCGGCCATCTTATAGTTCTCCTAGTAGTGTGGTCACCTGTGTGGATGGGTTGGCAGACTCTCCAAATAGTTCTCTTCAAGTCCCTGATTGGAATGGTGAGGTTCAATCTATTTGCCAATTTAGAAAAGGGGTTGAGGAGGCCAGTAAATTTCTTCCTGGAGGAGACAACCTATTTGTTAATTTGGATGTCAATGACATGGAGCCTCCCGATCCTAAAGTAGGGAGAAGTGATATGGTGGTAAAGGGGGAGAAAAGGGATGATGGAGAGTATTCACCTAGTGGGTTGAAGGGAAGGAAGAACTTCCGCAGGGAGAATTTTGTTGCAGAAGAGGAAAGGAGCAGCAAGCAGGCAGCTGTTTATTCAGACACTACCATAAGATCGGAGCTGTTTGATATGGTGTTGCTTGGTGCTTCCCTGCAGGGCCGAACAGAATTTTCTGCGTTAAGAGAATCCTTGCAGAATGGAGCAGACAAAATTATGCAGCAGGATGGACAGTCCAAAGTGTCAAACAGTGGCAAGGGTCGTGGTAAGAAACAAACTTGGAAAAAGGAGGTGGTGGATTTGAGAACACTCTTGATTAGTTGTGCACAAGCTGTTGCAGCTGATGATCGCTGTAGTGCAAATGAATTGCTGAGGCAGATCAGGCAGCATGCTTCTTTATTTGGGGATGGAAATCAGAGATTGGCTTATTGCTTTGCTGATGGCCTTGAGGGACGATTGGCTGGTACTGGTAGCCAAATCTATAAAGGCCTTGTTGGTAAACTGACGTCTGCTTCCGATATCTTGAGAGCTTATCTTCTATATGTTGCCGCATGCCCTTTTAGAAGGGTTTCTAATTTTATTGCAAACAAGACAATAAAGATCACAGTAGATACTTCAATGAGGCTTCATGTTATAGATTTTGGTATTCTCTATGGTTTCCAATGGCCTACCCTTATTCAGAGGCTCTCTATGAGAAAGGGCGGACCACCAAAGCTCAGGATTACAGGAATCGAATTTCCTCAGCCTGGCTTTAGGCCAGCTGAGCGGGTTGAAGAAACAGGACGTCGCTTAGCAGCTTATGCTGAAGAGTTCAAGGTGCCATTTGAATACAATGCTATAGCAAAGAGATGGGATGCCATTAAAATTGAGGAACTCAAGATTGACAGGGACGAACTAATCGCTGTTAATTGTTTGTATCGTGGTAAGAACCTGCTTGATGAATCTGTAGCAGCAAACAGTCCTAGAACCATTGTGCTCAATCTGATAAGGCAGATCAATCCCCATATTTTCATCCATGGGGTTGTCAATGGGGCCTACAATGCTCCCTTTTTCGTTACACGATTCCGAGAGGCTCTGTTTCACTTCTCTTCACTGTTTGATATGCTTGAAACCATTGTACCCCGCGATTATCCTGAAAGAACGCTGATTGAGAAAGAACTCCTTGGGAGGGAAGCCTTGAACATAGTAGCTTGTGAAGGTTGGGAGAGAACAGAGAGGCCAGAGACATATAAGCAGTGGCGCGCCCGTAATCAGAGGGCTGGGTTTGTACAGCTCCCATTTGACCGGAGTATAGTTAAAGAGGCAACAGATAGAGTGAGTTCTTACTACCACAAGGATTTCATGATTGATGAAGATGGCCGGTGGCTCATACAAGGATGGAAAGGAAGGATTCTACATGCCATTTCCATCTGGAGGCCAGCATAGAGAGCTTGAATGTGGTATTATCATCAACTGCCTGTTCAATCATAGGTGCTCTGGCAGCAGGAATAATTTAAGGACCTAAGGTAATGCCCTATGTTTATTGTTCTCCTACACTATTTATCTTGTTACTATACTTACTGCTAGCAAAAAACAAGTCTTCAGGCCACTGATTATGGTGTCTTGAATATCGGCAGATAGTGACTGCTGACTGTTGAGGAATGTATGCCATAAACAAGAAGTTGCTTAGGTTTCTGTTAGAAGACTCTTACAGGCAAGATCATTCACTATTCCTGGTTATTATCAGAAGCATGTTGGCTGGACTCAATTTTATCAATGTCTGGCCTACACTCTCTCTCATTGATATTTCTGAGTTCATACTATATGATTAATAAAGTGAACTATTCTTATATTGTAAATCTTCTTTTCAAGCAGATTGTTATGGATTCTCCCAAAACTTCATTGTTTTTTCTTCATCTTCTCTGGTCCCGGAAATCCTTTCTGGTTTTAGGGACCATCTTGAGTTTTTAATCTTTTAACAACCATGAAACCAATGAAAACCATCGCCGACGAACCAGCAACATGCATTAATCGAAGTAAATATAGTTTTTGTTGGGAGCTAGACTTTCTGAAGATTATAAGATACTCAAGATAGTTAATCATGGAGGTCCAGGAAGGGTCATTTCCTTTTGTCTTTCCTGTTTGCTAGCATCATTAGAATAAGATACCTCATTAGAATAAGAGGTATCTTATTCTAATTGGCATATTTATTCTTTTAAAATGTAAAATCAATGTAATTTTGACTAAAATTATCCAGTGTCAACCACAAATTGAAAACAAAGTGTGATGAGATTTCGTACAGATAAAGACATAATCTTTTACATTCAATTAATCTTTGGGAGGTGGAGCTTTTGTTTGTAGTTGCCCATGAAATTAGCTCGGCCAAAAATCTGGAAAAGTCAATCCATGGAGTCTGTTTACACATAAATGAATGAGTTGAAGAAACAATTGGATTCAACTAAGTCCAACGTTAAGCCTCAGGAAAAATGATAATCCTGTTTCATTACTGGCCGTTTGTTGATATCCAAAATAAAAAAAGCTTGTCAATTGTCACATAATTAATCTGGGTTGAAATGTGTAGCTTTCTACTGATATACATAGTGCCTCAACATGGTTTTGGTTATTGTTATCATGAAAATTGTTAAAAATATCAAAATTTTAGTTTTTTTACTTGTTGAATGGCATCTAAAAATATTAATTTATTAATTAATTTTAATTTAATACTAATAAATATTAACTGTTTTATTACTTATTTATTAATAACTATAATTATTAATAATTATTAATTAAATTAAATAAAACTAATATTTTTAAAGATAATTTTTTACAATTTTAGTGATCATAACAATAATGATGGTGGCCATAAAGTTCCCCGTCAACACCCTGTTAAAATAAGATTGCCTGATACTTGTGCATCCAACGTCGTAAGAATTATGCATTCCCATTAAGAAACTGCATTGCCAGCTGATTCTGCAAATACAAGATACTGATGCAGCATTAATTTAAGAATCACTAATTCACTCCACATCTGAAATTATGCATGAGAATTGAAAGAAAAATAGCACCAACGGCAGATGATTTTTGAGATACATAAAAAGTTTCAGTGGCAGCTAGAACTGGAGATACATGTGGAAATACATGTGGAAAAGAGATCAAATCTCATGAGGACAAATTTAATTCAATCCTGCTTCTCTTGTACCAATTTATGCAGAAAAGATTAGTGTAACTCTCTGTTTGGCCTTCATCTACGCAAAAATCTTACAAGAGATCCATTCCCATGTGCAGCAGTAAAGTCTCCATATGTAACTAAGAACAAGACATGTTCATAATTATTAAAGAAAAAAAATAACTGACTAAAGTCAACGGACTGAATTTTGTAACATCTTTTCATGATCGTTTCACCATTTGCATTGATCAAGAAGGATATACAATTGTTTTATGCTAACAAGAATATGAACTGATGCTTAAGCTTAACTGATAGTAAATAGCATCCACATTGATGGACCACTTTATAAACTGTGTACTCTCAAGGATAAAAATTTCCTTCCTAGCAAGCATAGAGGTATCTCTTATTTTATCATTTGAAAGGAAAGAGATTAGACACAAAACCTCCTAGATTAAGGGAATTGTGGTTGTATTAACTTCTAGTAGCTACTTGTCAACACAATCTACAATGTTGACAATGATTATTTTGTTACAATATCTTTAGTAACTTCTAGTAGCTACTTGTCAACGCAGTTCACAATGTTTTCCCAAAAGCCTCCAACAAACAAAATAACCATAATGTTTCGTAAGCAAAGAGCAAAATTTTCAAGCACAAGGACTAGGTTTATGGTCATGTCTGCGTGGAATGAAAGCATTTACTTTTAAACTTTTTCAGCTTCAACTTCAAGAAGAATGACAAAGATAAAAATCACTGTTTACAAAGATCCAATGATTGTTACTGGCTCTAACAAAAATTTTCAGCATTATTGGACAAGGTTATACGTAAGAATTCAGACAGTGAAAGTGCATCCAATTCAAGGAATAGGCCTGTTTCTGTTCAATCACCTCAGCCGTAAGTTTGGAAACATAACCAAAAGATGAAATCTTATTGCTTTTGTCAAGCTTTCGTTGAAAACATTGTTAAACCAGGTAAGCCAATAGGGAATAGATCTGAATTTTGAGAACAGGACATGGGATGGGGATGGCCAATGGTCCACTGCAAACAAAAAAACATAATAAAAAAAGCCATGCATGCCCTCCATTTACAGAATGTTAAAAGCAATATTTTAGGCCAACCACTACAACTTTTGCAACTTTCAATTTTCAATATGCAACAGGTACTTGTCATCCCCTTTTCAACTGCTCCTTACTTTTTCATTCTATGCTATTGACATGAGGTTACAAGGGGAAAAAAGAATACACCAAATAGAGTAGTTTATGTTAGGCCCAAATGCAAAAAAATGCGGATAGAGTCTGCAATCCAACTTAGAACTTGATATTCTAATTCAAAATATGTACCATGTTGCACAAAAAATTATAACAGAGAAAGATATAAAGATAGAACCTTTGGATTTCAGATGATTTTACAAGGATGAAATTAGACCAGAAAGTATTAACTCTTACATTAAAAAAAAAAAAAAAGAGAAAAAGAAAAAATTTTACCCAATACCTCAGAGGAACCAAATTATAAAATCTCTCATTCTTCAAGAGGACTCTTCTCATCAAACCACCGCGGAGGATCAAATCCAGACCCACCTAGGAAATGGAAAATTACTAAATACTAAACATGGAAAACATATACATTCCAATTGAAAAATAAAACATATCTAACAAGTGGAAATAAATTGTTAAAGAAGAGACATTTTGAATTACCAAGAGGATTGCAACGGCAGAGACGCCAAGCTGTCAAAATGGTTCCCTTTACAACTCCATACTTCTTATAAGCCTCCATGGAATACTCACTACATGTTGGTACATATCTGCAACTCTTGGGAATAATTGGAGAGATCTCCCCTTTTCCATAATTCATCAGAAAATTAGTCAATAATTTGCTTTTAGCTTCAATAATTGGGGAGATATAGAAAAGGGTAATCATACTTACTTTTGTAGAATCTTAGCATAGACAATGCAGCCCTAACGCCTAAATTGTCTACTTCCTTACCTGATGAAGCACATAGCAGTCAGACTAACTGTTATATTATATTGATAATCAAACTCACAATTAGGGAAGTAAGGACCTTGAACGGCGGTGTTTTCTTCCGAGTCTTTGAGGCACCCATTAATGGCGAGACGACGACGGCGGCGGCTGATGGTTTTGGCGGGAACGTAGAAGGTGGAAACTTGTCTCTGGTTTTGGGGGTGAAATTTGATGGAACTGAAATTAGGGTTTTGGGGATGAGCAGAAGCAGAGAAGGGCTTGTGGCAGTTAAGGGAGTTAACGATCGCCATTACTGCGTCGCTGCGTTTCTTTCTGGACCCGTTTTCTGGTATTAACGGCGGAAAAAGACTGTAGAATGGAGAAAAGACGACATCGTTTTTCATATTTCCTTTTCACCACAATTTTTAACGAAGAAAAACAAGCGTTGGTAAAAAAAATGTTGGTGAGTTCACTTGTGAGGATTCTACAAACAAAATTTCCGATACTACACTACAGCATATCAACAATTTACCAAGATTGAGGTGATTTAGTGATAATATTTTTAATTAAATTATAATTTGTTTGGTTAATGGGTTAATAGTACTAAAAAAATTTATTAAAAAATTTATTAAAAAATACTATATAAAAAATTAATAAATTTTGTAATGAAATTTTATTAAAATGTTGTTGAGTGATTAATTTTTTTTATATTTAATGAAAAATTAATAAAAAATTATCAAATAAGTTTTATATAAAAAAAGTTAAGAACAAATTTTTTTTAAAAGTATGGAAATAAAAATTTATAAATTAAGAATTATATTAAAAAAATAAAAAATAAAGATATCACTTGTACTCTCATTTTATTGTAGTATTAATATATAAAAATATATAAACAAACTTCTAAAGAGAAAAGTTTAAAAAACTTCAGAGAAGAAAGCAGTTTGACGGCCAAATTCCGTCTAAAAGTAGGCAAGCAACATGCAAGCGAGGTTAAGGAACAAGAGATAATTGTCATTATCAAGCAGCTCAAATTAGATCAAAGGAAAAAAAAAAAAGCAGCCACTGCATTCAACTAATATCCATACAATAATTCATTCTGCAAATCTCATCAGAAAATAACGTTTAATTCTAACTTCATCATCTTGGACTCCACGAGCAGAAGAAATACAGGTGAGCTGATTGTTACAAGGAGGCCAAGGCCGGGACTGTTGAGCTGTTAATACTCTTCAAAAACTTGAAGAACAATGATAGTCCTAGATAAGAGGTAATGGCATTTGACTATCAAAAACGAGTAGTGATTTGGGGGAAGAGAGCCTTGAAATCCTTCGTTGGGGTGCCTGTTCCCTCAGGTTTTGAAGACAAATCAAATGCCTTGAATTTTGCCTCCTCATAGTGTAATGCCTGCTCAAAAACGAGAGAGAAAACATGAATACGGTCACCAACTGAAGATGATGCAGAATCTGTTCTATTGTTTCAAACTATGAATGTGTGTAAGCAATACCTGTATGCAGACTTCTGCAACATCAGCCCTGGCAATTGTTCTCGTTTCTGTCTGAAGAAGTTCATCGTCTTTCCCAATGAGTAATTCTCTGATGCCACCTTCTTTATCTTGCAGTCCTCCAGCCCTAATCAGCCACAGAGGTTATGTCAACAGGAAAGTTAGACAAAGGGAGTAATGCAATCCCTCGTAAAACAGGGAGGATACAGGATGAACCAGCATCTCAATGATTAGAAGGTAGCCGTAAAATATGTTACAAGACTCAGAATATAGTCATTAATCATTCATGGAAAAGCCACTACTTATAAATATCAAGAATCAATATTGAAACTGAGAAAATATGGACCTGTAATACAATATTCATCCACATATACTCAACTAAGGATTTGAGAAGGAAACACAAATACATGCAAATGTGAAACTAACTTATGAGTTATGACTAATGCAAACAAGCAAAAGTTACAGAATACATATTACCAGGCTCCAAATGCTTGAGAAATGACAATGCAGAAGTTTTTAAAAACCATTTAATAAGGTTGCAATGAAGAAAAATCTGCAGTGGATTTATCAGTATTTTAACACATGTAGTCGGCCTTTACTTCTGCCCAAGTTAGTCTCCATTTTTTATCCTTTTCAAAAACCATGGCGGAAACCTATCCAAAGAACCTAATCAGACATCCTCTTTAAACAATTCTAAAAGGGATGCAAGAAGCACAAAGGAAAGCAAACATTGGAATCAATCCACCTGATAATTGTGTATGGAATGCCAGAGTCGGCCAAATACTGCTCAGCTTTTCTCTTCCAAACCTGTAAACACAACAAGCATAATATAGTCTTTTGCAGTACGTTTGCGTTTGTCTCTTGATTATAGACAACGAAAATAAGAACCAAAAGGCAAAAAAGATATATGCTAACCAAAATATTCCCATTTCCAATGCTGTTTAATGGGTTATTAGGATTAGTTCCACCCATGGACCCAACCAACACAATTTGCTTCACTTCAGCAGCCTTAGCTGTTCAGGTGGAAAATTTGATTCAATAAAACACATATTAAACTAAATATCACAATGAAACAACTTAGATTAAAAAACCTACCAGCATCTATTTGATTTTTCTGACCAATCCAATCAACCTAAGAAATGAAAATCCCATTCATAAGAACAATGTATAGTTAAAGAAAATGAAACAGGCAATTCTATGGTCATAACTTAAAAGATTCACCTGCTCTGGATATGCCCCATCTTCAAAATAAAACTCCGGCCTTTCTCCTTTAGATGGATCTAAACCAGGTTTCATCTTTGGCACAGCACTTGTAAGAATAATTAGAGCATCAATCCCTTGGATGACAGGAATAACGCTGGCTGCATCCCTTATATCCCCAACAAAAACATCATCTGCTGCCCCAATTTTCTCCTTGCTTTCTTCAGTTCTAACCAGACCTCTTGCAACAAATTGGTCTGACCTCTCCTTTAATTTCCTATAAACTATCTGACCTGAAAACCCCAACCAGTATACTCACTGTTACAGGGGAAATTGAAACCCGCCATTCCAAAGTAACAAATCGAGAATGAGGGACGGAGAAAGTGACAACCTGTTCTGCCACCGGCGCCGGTGACAAGTACTGTACTTGGAGGCAAACCCGCCGTTGATGCAGACACAACTCTCGCTCTCCTGAAACCCTTGTTGTTTCTGAATTGCGACGGAACTGAAAAGGAGGAAGAACAACGAGAAGATAGGGTAGAAGAATCTGGAAGTTTTCTAGCCAGGGGTATTGAAATTGATAATGCCACGCAGCCGCAGTTGTGACGCTGACTTGACGGAGGAGGAGCAGCGGAGAAGACCAATGAGAGACGTGTTAGCGCAGCCATCGATCAGGAGCTGGTTTGACCGGCTTTCATCCGACCGCCGACGACAGCAGCAAAATCCGGTGAAGCAGCGAAGGAGACGAAGTAATCAGCTGTGCAGTGTCTTAGCCGTTATTTCAGGAAGGAAATTTATTAATATTTTTTCGATTTTCTTATCCTGTTTGGATCCCGACACTACCTTATCTCTGCTTCGGATGTGGATATTCCCACGCTCACTACCCCACGCGCTGGTTATTTCGCCTCAGCCCATACTCACCAAGTAACAATTGGGTCGGCCCAGTGATTCGGAAAATTTTCTGCGATTGGGCGAGGCAGGCAACAGGCAAGGCCCATTGTTGAAAATGAAATGAAATGGAAATAATGAATTACTTGCTAGTTTTGCATCCATGATATAAATTACTAAACGAGTTATGATTTAATTGGTTAGAAAGTTAGATTTTCATTTTATTTATTAATGTTTGATTTCTTAAAGAGATTAATAGTAAAATATTTTTTTTATAAAATTTTTAATTCTAATATAGATATAACTTTGTCTTTAATCAAACTATGCTAAACAGGGAAAAAAAAAAAACTGCGTATGATACATTGAAACTGAAATTTGCTACATTTTACTCTCCAAAAAAGATGAAAAATGTGGGAAAGGCAAAACTTCCCTTGTCTCATTTTGGCAAAGGAAGAAATTGGAGCCTAAATTCATTGAATGATGAACTATTGAACTTGAGACCCCAAATATAGGCTGTACGTGTGGAGGTATTTATGAGAATAAAAATTCATGAAATGATTCGTTGCACTTAAACATTACTATTTTTAATATATATAAAAGCATAAAACATATATGATAACTTTTCTTTTGTCTAAATTTAAAGTAGTTTATACATAAAATCATAATTCGTGATTTATGT